CCTTTCCAGTTTTTTTTTTGACCCTTTCTATTTCTTTTTGTTCATCGTTTTTTGCGCTTTTTTCGTTGTTATCGCTTTATTCTAGAGTAGTTCTATGAATTCCCGTCAAGAAAGGGTACCCTGAATTTATCGTAAACGGTGCCTTTAAGCCAAAAGCTCTAATGGCACTTCAGTGCACGTCGCATCTCACGCAGCACGTGCCGAGACTTCCAGAGAGCAGGAAAGGAGTGGTTGTAACGCTATGTCCAATGCTACTAAACAGTTCCTAACTAAGTCGAACGACGAGACAACTAACAAAGATCCACCACGTACGACGACTTTCCGATTTCTTGACACACCCCTAGCAATTTTGGCATATTCTCAATCCATCGATCAGACTATATTTTTCTTCCAGTAGACAGTTCTTTCTCTACTCGTCGTTCTCCTTGTTTGTAAGTATAGTTGTTGAAAAGAGCAATGGTCAAACAAGGTAGAAGTGGGAGCGTCCACTTGAGTGTCCTGACTGAGTAGAGAGTAGTAATTGCAAAACCGGTGCGCAAGTCACGATTTGTTCCTTCCAAACTAAACGAATACCAACGGACAACCTTTTGAAAGTCAAGGACTGTTAGTTGATCTAAAAAGGAATGAAAACGGGATTTGATCCAGAAACCATGCGCGTGATAGTGGCCTCCCTAGGTGATGCTCCGTCGGCTCATTCATGTTTACATTCGAAATCAATGGTGTATCCTAATAAAGATCATAGTAAGGCTCAATAAGTCCATATTCAGTATTAGTAAAGTAATGATGGTTAGTTACAACGTATTATCCATCTACTACAAGCATTTATCGTCTTTCAAGATCTTAATCTATGCAAAATTGTCGTTTGCAGCTTATTACGGCATATCATGGCTGGATCGTACGACCTATTCGGGACGTCCTATCGCCTCAGCATATCGGATCCCAGAAAGCGCAAGTGAGTTTTTCACTTTTTTTTGCCAATATTGCATAGACACCGGACAAAAGAACTACGAGAGTGGTGGCAGTGAGATCTGACTCTGAAAAAGAGGTTTTCCAGTGACCGAAGCGAGGGCGGCTTGCCATCCTGGTGATCCCAACTTTTCTGTTTTTTTTTTCAAACAGAGTTTTCCACAGACTCATAACACATAGCTTCCTGGAACTGTCTACTATCAATGTTGATTACTCTTAAAGGCACAGTTCACGATAACTTTGAGGTATCCCTTTCTGTTCAAAAAGCGGAAGTATAGATTGGGAGTAGTTTATCGGTAATAAAGCAAGCGAGAGAATTCGCCGATCTCGAGAAAAAATATGGCTCCTCAAAAGTAGGGAAAATAGTGGATGGACGAGATTGCCATGACCGAAATAATATAGGAGGGGTATTCGGACGAGATTTCAATTATTGCAATTGCACAAAGAGCTGACTAAATCAAGCCAGAACTATACGAGCTGTCTTTCGCTGTCGCTATGGGTCATGACAAGTTGTTTGAACTTCTTACATGGGTTCCTTGTGATCGGTGCAGCCTCAAAAATGCTGAGGAAACTCGCCCGAGGATACACAGGGTCCAATCTTTGAGCCTTTATAACTCCCTAACTAAGCCGTTTTCCAACCTAATAGTGCCAGTTAAGTATAGGCGTGGACCTCAAATTCATTCTGTGGGGGAATCTCAGAAACCATTTCTATCGGAAACGTGCCTTTAGAAAATAATTTTCTCTTCGTGTTGCTTGACGACACCAGGAAAGAAAATTGGATCAATACTTTAATAAACAGAAATTTATAATTGTTTTTTTTTCAAAGAAAAAAGGAAATATTTTGCATTAGCTGAAAAAGCAGGTAGGTTCAAAGGCTTCGCTCTTATAATTTTCATGCAGTTTATGAACATGCTGAGAAAATCACACACCGAAGGTACCTGATACACGGACTTTTCTCACGCCCCTGAATGTACGCAGCGACAATGATAGCGCATCCTAGCTCACAGCTGTAAATACGCTTGGAAAACTAAACTCCGTGACTTTATCAGAAGCAGAATTTACGCTGTGGGCTAATACAGATCTTTTGGACCAAAGTAACTATTATGAATAGACTTCATGATGTCCACTGAAAAAAGGCCGAAAGTAGCGTAAAGGAGGTCTCTGTGACGAAAAAAGATTATGATTACGGGGATGTTTTTGGAGCCTGCTCTTCATCTTTTTTTGTTCATTGACAACATCTATTCATTCTATTCTATACATTATTACTCCTGAACCATCAAACAATACTTTCACCATCCATTTTTCCCTGTTATATGTAGGACGTGGCCCAAAAAAAGAAGGGTTGGAATGATCCTTCATATTCGGCTTAGAGCGTTACGTCCTTTTGAGAGAAATAATAGACAAGCTGCCTTAGCGTTAGCATCGAGCAATGGTTGGTGATGGTGCATAGCTCTAATCTTCAAGCTAATTCGCTAATGACATATTCACAAAAAAGTCGGGAAAAAGCTTCTGCTTCAACCTAATATATAGCTTTAGCGAAATAATGGAAATTATGCTGCAAAATAGTTCAAAATGCAAGAAAAAAAGGCGGAAATCGGTGGATTCTGAAAACATGTCTTCAAGAAAGTTGTAAGGAGGTTGTACGAGATTATCTATCTGTAACTGTCTGATTACTCCCGCATGAGCGTACTATTCGTCGGCGTCCTAACGCTTCATTGCGAGTGGTACAACTTTGACAAGGCCGACTTAATATGGCCCTTTCTAGGGCCACGACTAAATCGGCTTTGCACCTTTCCTAAAGCCCGATCGAGATAGAAACCATTTCTATCGTGAACCTGTGCCTTATGGTTCATCGGTTCATCTCCCTTCTCTTTCAATTTCGTTCGCTTTGAATTTCCTAGACTTATCCTTTTCATTTGATTACCGTAATCACCCTCATCTAACGCATTTTCGAAATCATTTCTGCAAATTTCTAACTTCTCAGAAATTTTATTTGAAAATATCATCAGATTCCGCGTTCGGCTTCCACTGATTGCTGATGGTCTGGCGGATTCAATTAATAGATATGTCTATATAATGATCGTACACAGATCCCTGATTATTGAAGGGAAGTGTAGGAAGGGGAGAATGGTGAAATTTGCAAATCGAGTTTTGTCCCTAAAGCGGCTGTCCTTTGTATGGCAACGTGATAGGGGCTGATAGCCCCGGACGGAACTGTTGTGAGCTTGTTTTTATCAAATACTCTTTCCGCAACTAACCTGTACTTAAGCATATGTGATTGTTTTCTGATGCTTTCTATAGTGAACAATCTAACAAGTACAATCTATTGGCGACTATTACGATGGCAGCGTCCTTCTCAGGAACTGATAAGATAAATATAAGCAAATAGAATTGACGATTACTCTACGGACATTGAATTCCGTAAGTCTTCCGCTCAATTTCATTCTTCCTATTACATCTACCCCGTAGTTTCTGTGTTCAGTTACAATAAGTTCTACCTAAAAAGTTATGAAGATCAATGTTAATCAGATTATCCGACGGTAATGTCCAAGCAGTCTTTTTTATCAGCAGTAATCATTTTTTACCGGATTTTCAAAAATTTTTACCAGAAATCATGTTATTTCAGTCTTCCTGAGGCGTTTGTTGCATCGGCCTACTCATCACCTAACACCAACAATCAACAGTACAGCCCTTACGCCAGAATGAGCTCGTCCATAACCGATTCTTCACCTCCTCGCTATGATGCCTACAACTACGATCTGAGTAATTCGGCAAATCTACTACAACCACCAGTAGATGACTTGGCTAAGCCTGTTGCTCGTGAACGCAGCAAATCTCCAGCAACAACCCGAGTTCGATTCGCCGATACCACTAGCCCGCCGATTTTACGTCGAAAGGTGAGATTCTGCTTCTTTCTCTCTAAAGACCACATTCCTAGCCATACTTTGTTGAACTGTTCCCGAATAAAGAGTTCGTGAATTTATCGGCCTGAAGAATTTCGAGCGTCAAGATGGGCTTCTCAGTAGAGGAAGATACTCGCCCAGGCCGACCCAGTCTTGTCCTATCGAAGCCGGTTAATTGGTACCAAACTTATCTTGGAGAATAAGAGCACTGATTGTACATCGGCTAGCCACCTCAAGTCATTTTATAGGTCACATGCGCATTCAAACGCTACTACGATTTTGAATCGAATTTGGGTAGGGGAGAAGGGCACATCCAGAAACGGCTAAATTGACACCGAAAGACTGTCCTCTCATTCCAGATTGGACTACGATCCATCCCTATCTATATAGCTTAGCCACGACCCGATCGAGAATGCCATTTCGAC